ATACTCTGAACCAGCCCCTGCCTTCAGTACCCCCCTCCCACCCACTGGAGGGTGCCATTTGCCTTCTGAAAGTCCTCTGCCTTAAATGCAGGGCTGGTTCTCTGCTCTTCCCGGGCGCCCAACCCGCTCCTGGCTCGGAGCTGCTTTTCCCACATGCCCACCAGCTTGGCTCCAGAGCACAGGCCTGAAACCCGAGCACAACTTTGTTGGAACTGTTTTTCCTGTTTGTTCCCAGCTCCCTTTAGTCACCGACAAAAAATACCCCATGACTGCACCGGCTTCAGACCTTCAGCTGTGTCATGACGAGGAGAAAGAGGTGTGCCAAGGAAAACAGCCCGTGCTCTGAGACCAGCATTTCACAGCGTCTGCGTTGCTCAGTTGCTTTGCTCAGTCCACCCTCTCACCTGTCGTCTCCCTGCTCCCAGGCTGAACACGCAGGATCTGACCAGGGGCCCGTCTGGACCCCTGCCTGTTTACACGGGCAGCTCAAGCACCCCAGAGCAGAGGCATCTGGCACACGAGGTAGGTTGCCTCTGGCCTTCTCCTTCAGCCCCACCGTCACAGTTAGCGACTGCCCTCACAGGCCAGGGCGGGAGGAGCCCAGAGAGGGTTCGCCCTTAAAGACTAACACCTCCAGGACACCGTAAGCACTCATCCACATGAGTACCTTCCCTCAGAAACTGAGGCCAACCACCGAGGGGCGAGTGAGCCCTTGAGCCGCAAGCCAACCCTCCCTCCCCTCTCCCTGCCAGGAAAGAGAGAAAGGATGCCGGCCATCCTGGGCAGGGGCCTGGGGGGGGGGTTGGGCAGCTTGAGATGCAGCACGAAAGACTGTTGGGGCAAACTGTTGGGGAACATCCGGCCCCAGCTTGGCGGCCAGCGGACTCCAGGACAGAGAGGGCTGGAAATGCCTCAAGGCCGGTCCTGCGAGACGGCCGGGCAGCTATCCAGGGCAGAGGCTTGTCCACTCAGCCGTCCACCTCTGCGCCATCCGTGAAAGGAAGGGCTGAATGCAGGCATGGCTGCTAATGGGCCCTGGGCGCCAGCGCCAGGAAGAACACGACCCCGCAGGGTTCGAGCCCTTATCTACCTGCCCTTATCTACCTGCCTGCCTGCCTGCAGCTTCCCATCCGTCTGCCTTCCAGACCTTCCTAGAGCAGTTTCTTAACTCTTGTTATCTCTGAGCTGTGGGGAGAAGACATCCTGGCAGGCCCAAAATTGCACAACACAGGAAAGGAGGAGGAGGAGGAGGAGGGGTGGGGGCGGGGCAACTTTCTTCCCTGCAGCAACACCTTTTGAAAACGAGGGCCAGGATCAGGTCATCCTTCTCCTCCTTCGTTCGCCCCCTCAGCCAACCTTTAGGCCAGGCCCTCGGCCCCCCCTTCGGCTGCTGCGGCTCCTCTTTCTGGACACCGTAGCGCCCTTGCTGCCTGCCGGCCTTTCCTTCCTTCCTTCCTTCCCGAGTCTCCCCCAGCATGCTGGACCAAGCCCCCCAGCCACCAAAGCCGAAAGCTGGGGATGATGGGAGCTGTAGTTCCAAACCTCTGGAGGACACCAGGCTAGCGAACGCCCAGCAGGGCCAGGGGTTGTTCTGAACCCAAGCAACGACCGCACCTGGTATGTGTGTGTGGGGAGATGGCCTGGGCCCCAAACTCTCCACACGGGGGAGGCAGCCAGCCGCCTGTTTTTCCCCAACCTCCCCCCGACCCCTCCCCACATCCCTTTGCCCACCTTCATGCTCTCCACCCCCAGGGGCTCCCCTTGACCCGCGCGCTCCCGCGAAGGGAAGGAGCAGCTCTTCGAGGGCAAGGCCCGTCCGCTTCGCCCCTCCAGAGCCCGGCGGACTACATCGCCTATCGTCCCCTGGCTGACAGACGTCTCTCCCCGCCCGGTTTTCCCGCGGCGCTCTGCACGCGCGCCGGAGCCGCCCCACTCACCGGCAGGGGCGCGTCGAGGTTTTGAGAAACTCTTATTAAGACTGAGTAACAAGGTCTCAGTAACAAAGTTGGACAGTGTCATTGAAGTGACCAGCATGAATTTGACCCAACTCCGGGAGGCAGTGGAGGCCCGGCCCGGGCCCGGACCCAAGAGGCAGGCAGCCAACGCGCGCCGCCCACTCTTCCGGCTCCCTTCGGCTGCCCGCGGCGCTTCGCCAGGGGATCCCCGACGGGAGTTGCGGGGCGGCGGGGGCTCCAGGTTCTGCGGCCTCCCCCGCGGCACCTCTGCGGCGGGGAGGGGGGGATAGAGAGTGTGTGTCGGACGCAGGGGGGGCCCGGGCCCGGACCCAAGAGGCAGGCAGCCAACGCGCGCCGCCCACTCTTCCGGCTCCCTTCGGCTGCCCGCGGCGCTTCGCCAGGGGATCCCCGACGGGAGTTGCGGGGCGGCGGGGGCTCCAGGTTCTGCGGCCTCCCCCGCGGCACCTCTGCGGCGGGGAGGGGGGGATAGAGAGTGTGTGTCGGACGCAGGGGGCGGACCAGCGTCCCCTCAAGTGACCGGGCGCCGCTCCTCGGGTTGGGCTCCTGCCCCGACTTCTTTGCGCGTTGAGAACCGGACGTGTCTTCCTCCGAAGCCGGAGAGCCTCAGCAGTGACCGCGGCCCTTGAATCCCGCGGGGGCGTGGTCGGAGGGTGGGGCTCCAACCCAGCGTCTGGGCGGGGCCGAGCCGGGCGGGGCGCCTTTTGCCTCGGGCGGCGGCCGGGGAGGGGCGGCAAGGCCTGGCGGAGGGCTTTGAGCCGCTGCCGTCGTTTGTGTTTGCGAACTGAAGAGAAACTCGTCCCGGGATTAACCTGGGCGCTTCTAGAGAGCGCGGTTGTTAAGTCTCCTTGTGAAGTCCGCTTCCCCCACCACTCCGACCGCGGGTGCGTCTAGAGATCGTTGGGTGGTTACTGGACGTACGTCGAGACTTTCCTGGCGATCTGCTTCTGGACGCCCCCGCTCCCCAGTTTCCAAGAGGAATGTCCTTTTGCACCTGGCGTTCTACCTCTTCAGCCAAAGCTGCCCGCTGCTTTCGCAATAAGTCCCTTTCAGGCCTTTCTTTTTGTACAGTATAAAATGATCCCCGTATCACGGACCAGGGACAGGGATTCGCGCCCCCCCCCAATCCCCAGGCTGCTCCAAGAACGAACCAGGCCCTTAGATGCGGCGTCACGGTCCGTGACCTAGTCAAGCGCAAAGAAATCTGCCAGGTGTGAGAACGATATTCGCCCCCCCGTCGCTCCCCCTTCCCACGTGTTCCATGAAAGGTGTGCACGCGGGTGGGGGCCGCCGCCGCCGCCGCCGCCCAAGAATGCCGAGCCCCTCGCAATGCCACCAAGCAGCAGCTAAGCGTGTCCCCTTGAAAGAGCTTGGACTACAGTTCCCATCAACCCCAGGCAGCGTGGCATAGCTTATGGGGTCTGTGGACCAAACGGTACGGAAGGGGGCCAAGAGGGCAGAGCTGGGCAGAGGGATCCTTTTCTCCACCGGGCTTCGGGGATAGAAACCAGACAGGACAGCCCCCGCTTCCTGTGGGAGCCCCCGGAAGTCTTCAGTCCTCCTTGAGCGTCAAGGATTGCCAGGGATCTGAGGGAAAGAGGGGGGCCGGGCAAGCCCTTTGGCCACACCACCCTCTCTCTCCAGCTCTCCAGAGTGGCCAGCTAGTTTCCACCTTAAAGGCTAAGAAGTAGCCTTTGCCAGCGTTGCGCCTCATGTCTGTCCGTAGAACTGCCTGGGTTCACCAAGGGTGGGCCTCAGCACCAGAACCCTGCCAGGTGGGGTGGGGGGGTGCAGCCTGCTGTGGACCCCCTCCAGCATGGCAGACTCGGGGGGGGGAGAGGGCACCATCTCACTTCCCAGCAGGCCATGAGAGCCCCTCCTGGGCCTGGACCATGGCCTGCATCTGCCTTCCAGCCCCCCTCCGCAGCGAATCGAAGTCATTCCCTCTGAATCACTTCTGGGGGTTCCTGCCTAGCACAGACCTGACCTCCTGACCTCCCAGTTTGAAAGCTGACTGTCCAGGTTATGTCAAAATTGGGTGAGGACAGGGTGGTGGGTTAGAACGAAGAGGAACAAGCCCCTCCAAGGGAGAGCCAGCAAGCTTCCCCTGAACCCCCCCCCCAAGGAAAACTTCCACCTTGGATTCTGCCCCCCCCCCGATACCCGCATGGTCACCCTCCAGAACCTCTCTTGGTCACTTTCAAGGTACGGATGAGCCAGAGAGACCTGTGGCTGGATCTCAGAAGCCGCTGAACGGCGGCAGGGATGAATTTTTGCTCGGCTTGCTTTTCTTTTCTGGGGCAGCTCTTGTTTCCAGAGATGGAACAAACCCCCTCAGAGGCCACAAGTCTTTGGGGTTTGCTAATGACCAGCCTCTGTCGCCACCACTGGAAAGTGTGTGCCGGGTTCTGTGAGTCATCCTCTGAGTCATCCAGTGATGTGAGTAAGCAGTCCAGGAAAGGCTCCTCCAGCCGGCTGGAGGATCCAAATGGCGAACAAGGAGGACACCGCCAGCCTCCCGGGGCCCGAGCCGTGAGAAGGAGCCTCCGCCACCTCCCTTCCAAATGCCTTGGCTGGTCCTGGCCTTGATGGGGAGGCCACGAGCCTATGGCCTGGTGGCACCGGGCGTCCAAAGGGGAGCGGGAAGGTCCTCCTGGGTCCACAGAGCCTTTCCCCGGCAATGCCCCCGGCTGTTCCTGGTGGGGCTTTCTTTTTGCCCCTCGGTTCTTCAAGCCATGAGATAAATGCCCCTGAGTCTCCCCCACCCTGCACCACATTTGTCAGAGGGCTCTTGAGCCTTTTGCCCCATTAGCGAGCCTCCTGGGGCGTCCAAAGGGGAGCGGGAAGGTCCTCCTGGGTCCACAGAGCCTTTCCCCGGCAATGCCCCCGGCTGTTCCTGGTGGGGCTTTCTTTTTGCCCCTCGGTTCTTCAAGCCATGAGATAAATGCCCCTGAGTCTCCCCCACCCTGCACCACATTTGTCAGAGGGCTCTTGAGCCTTTTGCCCCATTAGCGAGCCTCCTGGGCTACCAACTCCCATCTGTGCTAGCCAACATGGCCAATGAAGAAGAACCTGGGGAGCTGTGCCCCATCCAGAAAGTTTTGCACCTGCTCTGTTCTGTTCTTGGCCTTCATTTCTGCCCTCTGTTCTGCCTAACAGTTTCTGGTATTTCTCAGATGAGG